TTCTTAATTAATTATATTATAACTCCCCTTATTCACTGCTTTTACACAATGATTTATATTCATCCCTTTTGAGTTCACCTAGTATAAAAAGCGCACTAGATCATCCTTGTTTTAATGGATTTATGCAAAACGGATTATTGTCTCATTTGTTGTACATAGTTATTTTGGCTTTGGTATTTCAAGTGGATCTTATCTTCTGAACATTTGAAGTACATACTTAATGCTTCATCCATTTAACTATCAGTTTATGGACTAGACACATTCTAGGCACTTGCCACTGTACGCCTACTTGTCTGGCCTACACACTCCACTCATTTCCTACCTCACGCAGCTGATTTTACATACTTTAAATAACATTTTTTTCACTATTTTATCTCCTAGTTGCTGATCTCAATTTACAGCATCGCGTGCACCAAGCGGAAATGTCAGAACTGCGCAGCCTTTCCGAGATGAAATTGCGTGAAGCCGAATCGCGAACTAAGCGTGTTGAAGCCTCTCTGATAGCTGCTACCCGACGTGGCCATCCAGCTCAGTCAACTGCATTTATTAAACCTTCACCTCATGCAGCAGTAGTAACCACCGTCAATGTCGACAGCGCACCTTTGTCCTTCTCAATACCAGAATCGATGCCAATCGTTTCTTCCCATAGCCTCTCATCCTTCGGTGCGAATTTATCGCTGCAGATGGCCAATTTTAAATCGCCAGATTGCATTGACACGGACTCAGGGGAAATTTCTGCCGATATTGCTGACGACGGCACTAAAGTGCCATCAACCTACTCTAAGATCTCGAAAGAAATATCGGCTAGTGTCCATTCTTGTCAATCAGGAATGTTGGAGTCTCAGAGATCTTCGATTCCTCAAAATAGATTGGGCTTTGGAGCACAGTCACCGATTAATTTCAGGCCACCAAAAAGTCAACACCTAAGGGTTGGTATACTAAAAGTTGAATCTTGGTGTTGTTTAAACTTTGTGCTTATATTGTGGTATTCGTTATTCACAATGAAGGCAGAATAGCCCTATCAACTTTTTGTTTAATTTCATTTTCCTCGACCTGATAATTACATTCAAGTGAACTATGCGAATTATCCCATTATATTTTTATGAAAATTATTTACTCTCCCGTTATACGAACTCCTTAATGTTTTATAATTGTGTGATATGATATTTTCTTAGAACA